GGCTTCTGGTCAGCTGACTTGTGGAGCACTTCTGTTCTGGACTGTTCTTCTGACAATGATTCTGAAATTTCACTTATTTTGACATCATAATTTTCCTTCTACATTTTATTTTTGGCTTTAGTTTAGTTATGGCTCTGGAAAGTAACACTAATTTCTAGAAGTTATATATTGTGTCTGAAATGGCTTGCAAATGATTGGTCAATTTTTGGTTTTCCATTTCTATAGGACTGATGTTAAGTTAAATTTCTTCATCATTGCATTTTTTATTACTAATGTAACTATCTGTTTTCGTTACTCTTGCAGAAGAATGCACGGAAGATGCTTGTTCTCAAAACAATTAACTTAATTTTTCACTGTGCCAACAGCAGCATTGTTCTCTCTCTTGTGCCCCTTCTTCCTCCCTGTTTAAATTTAATTAGAAGCTCTTTAGGAGACTTTTACAGCCATGTACTTCAAGAAGAAAATGTGAAGCTCATGGGTGTGGCTGAATTGTGTAACAGAGGATAATACCATTAAAGTGTATAGAGTATCAACATACTACCTTGAAATTTATTATCCAACTAGCAGTCACTTTTCAGACTTCCTGTATGGAAGAGGAGGTAAAGGAAACACACATTGATTCATACTTTTTCCCTTTTGAAGTTAGCTTATCAATCTCAAGAGCTAGAATAATTTTGTGGAAGCATTTTAAGACTATTCTCCTGTCTCGAAGCCTTCGTCTTTGTGATGTATAAAGAGAACTGGATGCCAAGTACAAAGCTGTAGCATATTTGGGTTTTATTTGTTTATAGTTAAAAGTGAAACAGTGCTCCTGTTACAAGGGACATTGAGTCTACAGTCTGAAGTACACATGCAGTAAATAAAGCTCTTGGATGCTTTTATACTGAGAACATTTTTGTCGTGTTTACCTCAAACTTCTTTTGGCTGTCTTGTTGAACAACTAAGATTGTGTTGTGTTCTTGTATGGTAGGGGAATGTGTAGACATGATCAGTGTGTGTCATGGACTGTGCTAGTTCTGGATGGCATTAATGGGCTTAGGAAAAGTGTAGAACTGAAGGAAATTTAAGTTTCCCCAAGTGTAGCTATCTGAACTCCTAGCCAGTTTATCTTCAACTAAAGCAGTTAAAAAAAAAAAAGTTTTTTTGGTTTTTTTTTCTTTAGGCTCTTACAGATTAAGAGCAGGTCAGAGAAGTCTTGTCTTTTCAGACTTTCAGTTGGTACAAGAACCACAGCTTTGTAATTAGTAGCTTGCAAGTTAGATGTGATAGAAACAAGTTCTTTGTCCTCAGCCCAGCTGTTAACTCACTGGCTTTGTCCAAAGTAAATAAAACTTTGCGTTTACTTAGTTTATAAATGAGTATATGTTTTATGAAAGAATTGAAACATAGGTCTTATGAGGGATGTGGATTGTTCTTTAAAGCCTAATTATTACCACACTAGAACCATTGGGCTGTGTTTCTCATTGACAATCCTTATGAGTGAAGTGGAATGTTATGTAAAAAGAACATCTTTTTCAGTGAGAAGCCAACTTTCTATTTGCAGTTTGCCTTGTGTGATGACCCAAGTTAAAAATAAGTCCTATTAGCTATGCACAGCTGTGCCATTTATGAGTGTGAAGAGGATTCTTCCAATGACATTAATAAAGTATACTGGTTTGGTTACCTTTATTGCATTAATAAGATGGCCCAAAGCACAATTTATAGGATATGGGCTTTGAATATTTATTAGCAAGTGTGAAGTGTACAAAATTAAGTACACTTAGTTGTGGAAAGTACAGGCTAAATTTGGAAGCTACTAACATCATAAATGAAATTTATCTTAATGTTTAATCTGAAATTAGCTAGGCTGCAACATACAGAATAATTAAACATAAAAATTCTGATTTTTAATACTTAGGCTGTTTAAAATAAAGCCATCACTAGGTGTGTCTGAATGACTGCATTAATTAAATATCTCAACTATGTTAGTAGGGAAAACCACTGATATCCAGGATAAATAAAACATAGCTGATGACACTTGATTGACCACTCCAATAAGGCTATTGCCTTACTACCTTGAGTGAATGTACATATTTTGATCTTTCTCTCATTTTACTCATTTTATTTTTAACTGTTCACTAAAAAAACAAGGATTCATGTTTGTCTTTTTCCTCTATGGATTCCATTTTCTTGACACTAGTCATGAACTGTGTGTCATATTGCTATGCTTATGTTCTAAGACCTTGGTGTCAAGTGCTCCATGGGGACATACAGATCTGCTTTTATAAATTAACTGGCAGAATTGAAAGAAGCATTGTGGAGGCAGTCAGTGAATCCTGTCTTGGTCCTGCTCAGTTATTAGCAGTGGAGTATATTCTGATTAATTTTTTTCTAGGTTTTTTTTTTTTTAATCTGGTGAATATATTTTCTGTGTTTAGGAAGTTAACAATGTACTTCTTTAACACTGGAGTATTGGAAGGATTTGTCAGGAGAAAAATTGTTGTGGTTTTAGAAATCTGAATTTCTTAAAAAGAAAAAAAGTTCAAGTCTTGTAACCTTAATCCAGTAACATGAGTAAAACCATTTGCCTGGTACAGCTGTCAACTTTCTCTATATTTTGTAAGATAAGTCCTCTAAAGTAGAAAGCAGACCTCATGCACACTTGAACCAAATAAAGTACAGTGAACTAAAGACACCCTCCCATCGCTCACTGTGCTGTGGAGTCTTTGGATTCCAGGCAGCAGTCTCAGCTGTCCCAGTTTAGGTTATGTTGTATCAGGATTGGCTGTATCCATGTACTGCCTCTTCCCTTTTCTAAATTTCACTGGGGGAAGGCTCAGGGCAGGGATTAAATGTAGAAGCTGTCACCAGGTTTCCCCAGTGCAGCTGGCAGCATGGATGGGCTTCAGAGCTCCTGCTAGCTCTGGAAGCCTTTCATTCTGCCTCCTCGCTCACTATGTTTCCTCTGAATAGATTTTGAGTACAACAATTCAAGAAGAATTCCTCCTCCCAGTTAACACATCTTTATTACCAAGTCTCTTACCTCTTGATTGTTGGAAAAAAATCTTGTAAAAGCTGACCATCAAAAAACTAAACCTTGAAAGAAAAAAGCCAGAGAATTCAAATAATTTGAATATACTGAGCAAAACCTAGTTGCCTTGAACTCAAGCCCATTCAGAGGAAACAAAGTAAGACCACAGCCACCTGCCATGCCAGTTGGCAGAGTTGAAAGTCCACCCTCTGCCTCTCTTCCTAGGGATAGCAGCCATGAATGCCGGGTGTGCAGGGTGACACTGGTGGGTTTGTCAGCATATGCCAAACACATCTCCAGTCAGCTGCACAAAGACAACATTAATGCCCATGACAGAAAAGAGGATGAGAAAGAAGAGGCAGAAGAAGAATACCTTGACAAAGAACTCACTCAACTAATCAAGCAAAAGAAGGAACGGAACCGGTGAGTTTTTCTTTCTCCACTTCGGTCATAGAACTGCTTTTAACACAATGAGGATGCACTCCTGGGGCTTAGGTGCTCATGAAATGTCAACTGCCTGTGGCCAGTGTACTTGTTATGAGAACAATCCAAGAGACTTGTGTGGATATCATAGTTTTGACATACAAACATAATTCTGCTGAATCTTCTTGTCCTGTTCTTCTCCTGCTAGTAAGGAAATACAATAATTTTCCATTATGGGTAAAAACAGTCTTGTGTTTTGAGAATCCTAATGCTTTTATTTTAATATTTGATACCTTTTTAACTGAAGGCTTAATAAATGGACAGTAGTGCTAATATTGTTTATGGTGGAGGTTGTCTGTAGGAACCTGGCCTTCAAGAAACTGCTGCTGAACATGTTTGTTTTATAAAATGAACTGGATTATTCTGTAAATGTCACACTGAAATCCCCTAATCTTGAATGAAATTTCTTACCGCTTTTACCTTGCTGCTTACCATTAGCTAAACATAGTTCCAGTGGCTCACTATGAAGTAGAAGGCTGCAGAAAGTACTAAGTATTGTCTTTTATTTTACATGCAAATCTGCACATGAGCATTGCTTGTGTGATGTTCCAGTTGGGAATATATTATTTGAATAGATGTCTAGTGACGATACTAAAGGGGCGTATAATTTTTAAAACAAGCTCTTGCTTTCTGTGGCTAGAAATTTGAATTAGTGTTTTTAGATGTTGAAATCTGTGGAGATTATTAAGTTTTGACATCACTGTCATGCTAGTGTGTCCCTACACTGCACAATGGTAACGTTTTCATACTGGTTAATGTAGGTAGCAAAAATGCCACTTACTCTTTTTGTTTTATGGAAGAAGAGTAATGTTGTCAGTGCAGTGTTGTTCTGAGACGAGTAAAACCATATAAAATCTCTGTCTGTAGAGTGCTGGTTTGGAGAGGGGGAAAAGCAGAAAGTACAAGGATTAAGTTACTAATCCAGCAAAATTGTTTCCGTTAGATCATAATCTAGTTGAGTCAGCTCTTAGAACTTACTGTATCACTTAGATGTTTTTTTAAATTCCTGTCTTAGAGATCAGATTATTTTGCACAGTAGACTGTTTTCCATTAGAGAGTAGTTATTAGTGAATATTTTAGCAGAACTGGAATGTATCAAAACCAAAGGGTAATACAGTATGAATTTTCAGCTTACTTGAATCAATTTGTTTTGGGTAGTAGTGTAAAAGTTTACTGTCTTTCTTGTCCAGGGATCTAGAATGGATGCATTTCTGTGATTAGTTTCTGGAAAGAACTTTTAATGAAAACTCTTAATTTTGTTGGATAAATACTTAGAATGTTTAGTCTGCTGACCCTGGGAATAGCTGTAGCTCTTAAGAGAGCATTTATCTTTAAATGTACATGTGATAGTTTGCCACGTGTTTGTGGGAAGTTGCCAAGCAAGAGTGCTATCCAAAGGGCAGTCGATAATGCTGCTGGGAGGCTCATACAGACTGAGCATTGCATGCTGTGGACTGTTTCAGTCCCTTGATTAAAAGAAGACAAATCACTTTTGTATCTGAGATACATCTTCTGTGGATGTTTTACATCTTTGTTTTAATTTAACCTTTATAAATGGAGCCATCACATCAGTTATTATCCAGTAAGGATAATAATGGGGTTTTCAGCCTGACTTTCCTCTGTTTTGTGTCAGTTCACTCTAGTTACACCACGTAACACCAGCAGAATAGTCTTCAGAAAAAATAATTATCTCACTACTAAGTTTTCTATCTACTAAGAATGATCAAATTACAAAGATTATATAACATAAAAAGCTTTATTTTTATTAGTTTCTTGTTAGTCCAGTAGTAAATAAAAAGGCATATTATCTTTCAAGTTAGAGACAAGTATTTGAGAATTAATTTATTGAACTGTCCCTGCACCAAATTAGTTGTTCTTATAAGAGAAATTTTGAAATTATCATCTTTAAGTAAAGGTACATTTGTTTTGAAAGTCACACATTACTGAAGCTTGAACAGCAAAACTGCTAAAAAAGTATCTTGTTTATTTTTATAATAAATAACTTAAAAATATATTTTCTTCCCAGTGCAAATAAAATTCATGAAGCTTGTGGACTGTTGGGTTTTAGTAGAATAGCATCAGAATTTAGACTCTTCTCAATTCTTTTGTAGGCAAACTGAACCAAGTTGTGCAAACAAAGAATTAGAATGTGATGATAGGAGATCACAGAGATTGCGAGAAGAAAGAGCTGCATACAAAGAAAGAGAAGCTTATGATCAATCGTCTTGGCATCATCATAGTGCATCACAAAGGGACTGGAAGTGGGAAAAAGATGATTATGTTAGTCCTAGACAAGGCAAATTTTCACACTCTCAGAGGAACCTTAATACAAACAAACATTCAGGAGGTGCAAGGGGGCGCTCTGGGTGGCACCAGAATGTTTCAGGAAGCCCTTCAAATCGACATAACTATGGGAATTCTGGAAATGCTTGGCATCTAAGTGGGCGGGGAGGAGGAACCTCAAATTGGCATCATGGTGCCAGGGAAAGAAATTCTGCTTGGCACTCAGAAGAAACAGGTCATTTTTCTAGCTGGAATTCCAAGAGTTATGGAGGAAACTGGAAATCAAGTTCTCGTGGTGCAAATGGCTGGAATTTCGGAAGCTTGGGAGATTCATATTCACCAGAGCCAAGTATATACAGTAAGGAAAGGTACACATGGCAGCAGCCAGAGAAAGGCGATGTTCTGCCATACAGAAATCGAAGGAATAGGGATGACTCTCTGGATTTTACTAGTGATAAGCTTGCTGCTGAAGGGGGATTGGATTTTAGTCTATTGAAACAACTAGAAAGCAAAACCTCAAGAGCCAGTGGAAAAAGTGTCAGTCCTTCCAGAGATAAAACATATCGCTGGACTCCCTACCCATCCCAGAAAACTGCAGAGCAACAAGCACGGTCTGAAGATAATTCAAAAGCTTTGGATAAAATGGATTCTGTACTTACGCCTCTTACTGATTTGTCAGTGAAAGAAAAAACTGGTGAAGTCAATGTTAGTCTTTCAAAACTTCAAGAACATGAAGCATCTTCCCCTTCTATTGGAACCTCAGATAACCTTGATTCTTGCAAGGTTGTAAAAGACTGTTCCAGTGGTGAAAAGCCTGACAAAGATGATAGCAGAAGTAATAGGATGCCATCAGTGAAATCCCCGCTACTGAATATCACAGATATGAAGTTATCCTTGACAAAGCAAGACACGAACAGTCTCTTAAAAAATGTCAGGCTTTTGTTATCATCAACTAGTAGTGAAGAACAGAATCATTTGAATGCAGTGAACTTGGAAACAAACAATTTCTCCTCTTATTCATCAAAACTGCATGGTGCTTGTGTTGGTAACTTACAAGACAGCAAAGGTGTGCTTGGTAGCAATCTTGGAGATCCTGTTAATAACTTAAGTGAAGCAGAACAAAATCCCAAAGGTGTTCAGTCCAACCATTCCTTGCAAAATGCACCCTTAAGTTCTTGCAAAGATACAAGTGACCAGAATAGGAGAGAAACTGGGAAAGCATTGCCAAAGAAGGAGTTCAGACTAGATTCGTTAGGAGACGTGAGTGGTGATGATTTAATGGGAAGTGAGAAGTCAGAAGCAAGAGTTGCAAAGCTGGGTTCTTCTGTTAGTTCTTGCTTACCCTGTGATGCTCCTGATGGTAAAACTATCACCTCTGAAAAGGAAGATTATAAAAAAACATCTGCTTCAAGTATTGCTCCTGTTGAGCTAAAAAATTTTGCATTTCAGATAGAACCCACGGTTTCTTCATCAAGCAGTCAGGACCCTTTGCATGTGGATTTGAAAATTTCACAGGACAGGGGAGGGAATGAAGAGTGTGTCAAGTCACATGATCAGTTTGAAATGGAAGGTTTTGAAAATCCTTCAGATAATGAGCTTCAAAAAGGAGGAAGCCAGTCAGGAGGCGGCCTTCTTCCTGACTTAAGCAAGCTTGGCCTGCCTGCTTCTCTGCAAAGAGACCTGACACGGCATATCAGTCTGAAGAGCAAAGTCGGGACACATCTCCCAGAGCCCAATCTCAATAACGCACGTCGCATTCGGAATGTGAATTGTCTTCGGAGAAGCGAGACAGAGAAGGAGTCAGGGCTTAAACCTACCCTCAGGCAGATTCTTAGTGCTTCCCGGCGAAATGTTAACTGGGATCAGGTCATCCAGCAGGTAACCAAGAAGAAACAGGAACTTGGCAAAGGTTTACCAAGGTTGGTAGCTTTCAGATCTAATGATGCTTCTCAGGGCACACTGAGGGGGGAGGATTGTTGTTTTCCATATCTGAAATGAACTCCAAAATCCTAAAACTAAGAACTCATAATGAAGCTTGCTATGCCATGGTCTTTTGCAGAGTTTTTGAAAATGACACCGTTTTTTTGCAAATACTGCAGAGTTTTTATTGATTGATGCTGTGAATGAATGTCTGTTCATAGATAAGTAAAAGTAATCTGCTTAGAAAAGGTTCTGATTAGTTCATAATGGTTGCTTTAATATCTGAATGTGGATGGTAACAATGTAGGTTTTTTTCAAGTTCTAGTAATGGAAGAATGTAAAAATGCAATCAGGATGGGAACAATGCTCTGACAGTTGCCTATGTCCTCATCTAGGACTACAAGAAATACAGCAGTATAAATGTTCACTCTTCATTTGTTAATATTTTATTCTGATACGCAGTTTGCTTTTGTCTTTAAGGAAGCAATTATATAAATCTGCATTTTTGAGACTCCTTAAACCTGAAGTATTTGAAGTGTCTTGAACAGATGTCATATTTGATTATTCTAGTCTTGCTTGGGAATAAGTTATAATAACGTGATTTCTGACTTGAAAATCATGCTGCCAGTTCTTAGCCGCTAAGTCTGATTATGTGATACACAGGAGAAGTTCCATTTCCAGATGAGGTAGAAAGCACAGAATACCAGTGTAATGGTATTAAACCTACTACTTAGAGCAGTAATGTACATTTGGGGAAGGGGAGGGGAGGCTTTTTTCTATGCGTGGCAGGCTTGTAACTCATTTATTTATTTTTCTTTTTATCTTGTTAAAGGTTTGGCATAGAAATGGTGCCTCTTGTTCAAAATGAGCAAGGTCTAGAACTCAGTGAAGAATCTGATCCATCTACTCTGGAAGGATTCCAGTGGGAAGGGATTTCTTTAGCAGTATCTGGCTCTGCCAGAAAACGTAGCTTTTCTGAAAGCAGTGTCATAACAGACAGAAATCCTTCTGATTATAGCTTTTTCAGTGAACAAGCCAAAATTAAAGAAAGTGGGCAAAGGCAAGTAATTGCAGCCAGCCACTCACATCATATAACATCTGGATATGAGGCAATCACTGACATTGAAGCTGATCAGAAAGAGGCGACACCATCTCTTGCTTTGTCACCTTTTATGTCTGAAAGAACTGAGGCTAGCAGAAGAAGTCACAGCCTACAGGCCACCTCTGAGATCACAGGCCTTGCAGAACAAGACCAGGAGAGCCCAGAGAAGAGAACACCTCTTCTTGAAAAGCAAAATGTATTAGAGATCTCAGAAGAAAATCGTCCAGCTTCAAATAGTGCTTCACTTCTTGCAGTGTCTAATAACATAGATGCGGCTACAGACAGTAGCTGCACATCTGGTACTGAACAGAATGACAGCCAAGGAATTGGAAAGAAGCGAAGGGCAACTGGAGTAAGTGTGTAATTCTGTCCAGCTTTGGTGTGCTGAAAAGGTTCTTTCTCTAACAGTGGTCATTCAGCTTTGAAGAGATCTGTGCAAGGAAGACTTTCCCCATCTGATAGTCTTGATTGATAACATTAAATTAATTTCTTGTTTGACTTAATTTTCTTTAAATTCTGCTTTCATAGTGTGGGACTTTTGATAATTTTTTATAATCAAGAGGAATGACAAATGCTCTTTATTTGATTTGGTACCTGGCCTACTATGTTGGTAAACAAAAGCTGGTAAAATATTTCTGTGGATGTACTACTTTTGTAGCAAGCATCTTGGTGTTTCACAACACAATTTAAATAGAAGCTAGCCTGTAGTAGAAATTTATTTTCCTTAGATGTTTCTGGCTTTATGGTTAAGCAAGGAAATAAAAACATTTTAAAAAAATATGTATACCCCAAATTATGTCCTTAAATTTGAATTTGTTTCACAGTCTGGTCTTAGATTTATCCAAAGGTTAAAAAAAATCTTGGTGATCAGTTTCACAGAATGGTTTTGCAGAAAGCAATAATTTTAATTCCTTACTGTTTAATCCTCTACACCTTCAACTAAAACTGTGGAGCAGAAACTCTAGTTCAAGTGCCATCTTAAACATCTGAGCAAGAAGAAGGCTGTTGGCCTGTTTAATATTTCTTCCTAGTTGAGATGAAAACACAGCATTCTGTTGTCTTCCCTCTTTTAAGAGCAGAGCAAATGATGAGTTATGGAAGAGTGTGCAAACAAATTGTGGAGTCTTCTCTGTGCCTACAATTAATGATTGAAAAGATGATGGATGTTCTACTTCTTGATTTAGGCAAAATTATTCTTGTTGGTTTTTAATAGATGATTTTACTTGCAGGAGGGATCTTCTCCTGAAATCCCTAGTCTAGAAAGAAATAATAAAAGAAGAAAAATCAAAGGTAAAAGAGGTGAGTGAATATCATACATGTGTGCATGTAGTGTAGAGGCTATAAACACCCACATAAACAAAGTAGTATTTTGACTTGACTGAAGTAGTAGTTCCTTAATGTTACTATGCTGCTTCTTTGGCTTTTACTGAAGTTTATAGAGTGGACTGCTCACAAATCTGCAACATGTTCTTCTCTGAAGATCTTTGTCTTAGTTTGTCTTAAGTTATTTCTAAGAGAAAGGTATGTGCATCCTTTCTGCCTGCAGTTCATATTCCTGATTGTACAGATGGGACCTTTGCTTTCCCCCTGTACAGTGTATTGAGGTTTGTTGCCTATTTGGATGGAAGTTCTTAAGGGAGAAGTCCCCAGTTAACTTCTTTCTAATCCTCTATGCAGCTTTTCCCTTTGTAATTCTGGGTGGTCTCGCCAAAAAAAATGTACTCTGTTTAATTTTGTCTCTTCTGTTTTTGACATCTCTGGAAATACTTCTTACTTTTTTAATGTCCTTAGTGAAAATGAGAGTAGAATGCCTCTCTCCTCCCTGCTCCTGATCAAAGAAAACTCTTATTCTGGCATTAGACAGATCTTTCTCAAACATGCCTAAAACATCCTCATCACCGTGTCTCAGAACAAACCATCCAACCATTGTGTTTTAGGCAGAATATTTTCTTAGTATTTTTAGTATTCTGTAGTTAGAATAACTAAACCATTGTTAGGAGCATTGGGCTCCATAAGATGGCTTTCAAATTTTTTAACATTTCTAATTATTTTTTTTTATTTATTAAGAGTTGTTTGTAATGTAGGGCAATAATATGACTCTTCTATGGAAATGAATATTTCACTACTTGAAATGGGGGGTTTTATCAGCCTCTGTCTTCAATGACCAGTGTCTGTTATAGAGACTAATAACACATTCCACTTACTAAAATCTTTTTCCCATTACTTTGCTTTAGTATGATTGTTATTGTAGTAAATTTGGTAAAAGAAACTATAATGTGAATGCAATTAGCAGTGCCCAAATGGAATTTGGTTTGGACAATCTGTAATACCAGAAGTCTCTAGGAGGGGTAGGATGATCTTTTACAGAGTACAGTGGTCAGAGACTCTTTCTCAAGAGATTGCAAACACCAGTCTCATGGCCCAAAATGATCTTGAATAGTAAACTATTTTTTTAATAATCAGGTTCTTTTTCTCTGAAACAGCTTTTCCTTGGCTTTGCATTCACTGAATAATTTAAATCTTGTTTAGCTTAAATTTGCCTTTGCCTTTTTGATTACATTACTGAGAGGTGTGGATTTGTATTAGTATACATGTACTTCAAGAAAAGATCTTTGTGAAAGAGAATGACTTAATTTATTTAAACTAAATCAGTGCTGGCAAAGCTGTAATGAAATTAGTTACTAGAGTCAAGGCTGAGATCCCTTAAAGAGGAATACTTGACTTTGCCCTTGATCCATGTAGATGTGGCTAGTGTTGTCTATAAATAATCCTTTTCAGCTTGTATAATTATTGATGCTTGAATGCTTGACCTAATCTATGTGGTTTTTTCCATTCTGAGGTGCTATTATTTATTTAGATATTGCAAGTAATGGATCTTAATGTATTGTTGGGTACAATTGGACTCTACATTTTGTTTCTTTTTCAGAACGTTCTCAGGTAGACCAGTTGTTGGCTATTTCTCTGAGGGAAGAAGAGTTAAGTAGGTCCCTGCAGAGTGTGGACAGGAGCCTCCTGCAGGCGAGGGCTGCCCTGCAGGCTGCCTATATTGAGGTTCAACGGTTCCTTGTGGTAAAGCAGCAGGTAACAGTGGGCTTTGGAAGCTGTCTGAATTAGTTAGCAGCATGAAGAGCTGCCTGTTAAATCAGTGGGACTGATATAAGCCACAACTGTTTTGCAGATAACTATGGAAATGAGTACACTGAGAAGTCAGAGAATCCAGATCCTGCAGGGGCTACAAGGTACAGGATACCATAGAGCTACAACAATGGAATATTTAATATTCTTTGAACTCAGAATCTTTTAAAAACTGTGTTTAACTTGAATCTGCTCATTTAAGCTACAATAAAATCATAGACTTTCAAAATGAAAATTCAAATTGAGGCCTTTATTGTCAAGTGTGAACTGTCAGTTTTGATTGTTCTCTCTAGTGTCTTTTTAAAAATTTTTTCTCTTCCTTGACTCAGTGTCCACAAGAAATGAGCTCCTGGCTCCACTAAATTTTATTGTAAAGTATTTTTGTTCTTTTATTTATTTGTTTGTTTGTTTAATGTGTCTCTTCCTTTGCCATTAGAAACATATGAACCTTCTGAACTCTCAGAGCAACTTTCCTGCAATGCCCTAACTGAGAGACGAAACAGCAAATCTCAGATGGCAGCTGACCCAATTCCTTCAGGCTCTCTCCTGCCCCTCGTGGACAGTTTGTCTTCCTCTGTACCTCCAGGAGGATCTTCTATTCCAGTAACCATGCCATCACCATTCCAGTCTTCTGGCAGTATACCTTCCAACACTCCTGACTCCTCAGTACAAGTTAAACGAGAACCTGTGTCTCCACAAGGCACAGAACTAAATGTGAATTCTGTACTCCAGAGCTCTGCCTGTGCTCCACAAACAGAAGAGGCGGAACAGAATGATGGTATTTGTAGTTTTGCTTTAAGATAATTAATTTTAAGAAAATAAGGAAATTCTTTTTTTCCCAAAAAGGATGTAAGTTGTGTCTCAGCCTGCAGTCTGTCAGGCAGGGGTGAATGCTCATTAACTTGTGTAGTACTTTCTAGGTTTGCTTTGAAAATAGAGCAAATATGGATTTGAAGGTTACATCCTCTTAGAATAATTTAGTTAACTAATAAAACGCAAAACCAACACAACCCAACAAACCTGAGAATCTCCCCTATAATTTTTGTCTTCTACTCTGCATCATTTAATGAGCACTGGTAGTAAAAAGCCTGCTTACAAGGGAAAAAGATGTGCCTGAAAATTTTTAAAAAAAATTATGAACAGCTACATCGAAATTATTCTGTGCTCTTCTTGGGCTCTGCTGGGTAAGCACAAAGAGTATAATTTGTAATATTAGAAGTAACAATCCATCTTCTACTAATTGGCTATTAAATCTTCTACTGTACTTCTACTAATTGGCTATTAGGCACTGCTTACTCATGTGAGGGGCATGGGAGGGTTAGCAATGAAGATAGGGGTTTACTTTTATCTGGAGGAGAAACTGCTGAATTAATTGAACTGCTAATGGGAGAGTTCCTGTCTCAGCAAAGTGAGATCTTAATGACTGCAGCTGAAATAGCTAACTCTTTATTTAGGCAGTTTAGATACCATGAAACTTGTGTGCTGTAGTCTGTGGTCAAAGGCTTAAATGCTGTTGGTAGTTTCCTCTGCAACTTGCTACTGTGACTGAAGGTAAAAACTGAAGATTAAAAGCTCATCCCATACTTTCTTAAGTGAAGTCAAGCAGGGTGACTCTGATGATGGTTGTCTGCCATAACAATGTCACTTACCCAGACCTTTAACTTAGATAATTTGAGAAAAACTTCTGTAAGATTGATCCTTGTTAAAGATAGCCAACACAATATTTTTCCTCTCCAACTGAAGTACAAAATACTGTTGGAAAAAGTTGTGTTCTACCTTTCTAAGCATTATTTTTTTTCTCAAGCACAAGATGAATATTGGCTGAATTGAAGTTTAGACTTCTTTAATTAAAAGAATTTGATTTTTTTTACATTTTTTAGTTTGCTTCAGCTATAGAATTGCATGTAGGTGGTGTTTTTGTGCTTTTTTTTAGTCACCATTGCATTTCCTGTATTCCATTCTGTTAAAATACGTTAGTGTAGTATTCTGAATTTTGCTTCATCTTTTTTTTTTTTTTGGAGGATTTGACAAGGAATGTGAAGCTCTTGGGGCATTCACTGAAGTAAACTTGGGGCTGGGGAAGAAATCAGCTTTTTTGTTTGTTTGCATTGTTAAGACTCAGCTTTTAGAAAGCCACTACCTTTCCTTTGCTTTCCTGTTTTTATTGGCATATGCCATACTGTTATGCTTAAACATCAGTTAATTTTTTTTTTATTTGTATCATTGTCATTTTTATTCTCAGTTTTCCAACTCTTAAGGAAAGATTTAGTGATCACTAGCTGCAGTGGCATGAAGTGTCTTGTTTGCAGAATCTTGAAACTTCACAACAGAGAAGTTGAAGATTTTTTTTAATACTTTTCTTATGAATATAAACCTTCAGTGTATAGCTACATTTTTTACTTACATAATTACTTTGGAAAGCTCTCAATCACACTATTTTCCTGTTTCCAACAAACTTAATTTTGATGTATTAAAAGCAAGAATATTATTTCTGTGTTCATTTGTCAAGTTACCATAGTTTTGGTATTGATGCACTTCTATATATGCTACATTTAAAATGAGAGTGCCTTCAGATAAATCTAGTAATCTGGGGGGAAATAAGCATTTGCCTTCAGGTGAATTCTGAAATTTGAGGAAGAGGAATTCGCTTTATGGCAGATTGTTTACTTTTTGGGGTTGAATGTTTAGCTTAGCAGCTTCCCATTTAGGTTAGCTCAGCCATTTTTTGTGGGAGCTGATTGCATTTGTTTTCCCCTAAATGCCAGCAGTGTGTCCCACCTGTGAAACTGAGTGATTCTGTTTTCTTACACTGCCATGGTAATTTTCTACTTCTTTTTCTAATACCTGCAGCACTCCAAGTGCTGAGAATTAATAACTTTTGAGTTTAGAATTTTCAGTTTAAGTGGCTGTTTGCTATTATTTTCCTGTTATGAAGTGACCAAGTTAATTCCTTCCCCTTTCCAGTGGGAAATGAGTTTATTATATTAGAGGCACATAATATTAGAGGTGTATTCAGAATTTAAGGTTTTGTGTGCCTTCTTCTCAAAATAATTTAACACAGTAACTTGGTCAAACTTCATCTAATGACTCATTTCTTCCATAGAGAGGTTTTTCTATCAGGTTTTGCAGTTGTGCATGACAGTTATATGTCCAGGGAAAAACATTTTTCCATTGATTTACTTTAAATGCAACATATATCCTATGCTGTCAGCAAGTTCTAGTTTTATCTTGGAATTCCCCATCTGAGGAAGGTGTAGGTGAGAGATGTTCTCATTTTAGCTGTTTCTAGTTAGCTGGGTAATTCCAAACCATCAGATTGGTCCTGTGATGTGTAATGTGCTTTTGGCCAAGCATTAGTGTAGGTTTAATTTGCTGGCTTCTGAGAGGCTGGAAGAGGGAAGTGTTTCAAATACTGCCAACTTCCCATTTGTGGTGTGTGATCCCACCCCAGAAATGCAGTGAATTTGAAATATCCTGTTTTAGATTGTAGTTATTGCAAGTGTAACTGGGGAATTTTAGGGTGTGGGAAACAGCTGTGAGATAATTCCCTTAGTCTGTCTCAGCTGAGAGGTTGAATCATTTTGTTCATAGTAATTCAGCCACAATTAAAGGACAGGGAGAGTGTGTTGATGCCATTGCATAGTCCACCACAGATGAGCTAAGTAAACTAAACTAACGAAATAAAGCCTACCCTCATGGCTTACTCAGTGCTGCTATTCCCAGGATGAAGGTACAGTGCTGCAGAGTGGGTTGTGCATAACTATCTACCTTGAATTAAATCCAAGTAACTTGGTAGAAATAACTATGTAATAGCTGTAATAATTCAGATGGGTTAAGCAAGATTTTCAAACTGTCATTGAGCAGCTGAATCGTACTTGGCATGCATTGATTCGTATAATTTCTACAGCAGTCATGACAGCTGATAAGGGAGGACACAGAGGGGTGGTAGCATCTTAAGTCAACAATGTAGGATTCACCAAAGATTGTCAGAACTTTAAAAGCATACAGCCAGCCAGCAGCTTGAATGATGTGCCCCATTCCTTTATTTCTGTGTACATGGATAAACATTTTATTCCCTAGTTATGTTTTTTAAAGGCTGGATAGCTGATTGAAATTGCAGATCTACATGTGCACATAGTTTTCAACATGTAATATGTACTTTATATGCACAATTAAGTGTAAACAGAAAATACAGGGAGGGACACTTTGCATAAAGAGTTGTTGCTGTACAGATTGAATGTAACACTAGGCTGTTTTCCTTAGAAGAGACCAACCAGAAAACTTCAGTGTATCCTGTTATCACTGCAACCATATCCCTAGCAGGACTGGCAGGTTGTTTCCAACACACTAATGAAGATGTTCACAAGCCTGATGCAGACAAGGGACAGTCTGGACTTCCTGAGAACTCTTCTCCTCATTCAGTGTCTGTTTTCAGCAAGAGAGAAGCAAATGATACAGTTGGTGAAAAATTTTTGATGGATCAGTGTAGCACTTCCCTTTCAAAGCATTCAGTCCTTCTAGAAATGCCAATGGATAAAACGCCCAAATTGTCAGCAGAACTGTCTGAGCAACACTTGACAATGGCTGCAGTCCCAGCTGAGAAAGGGAATAGAAGAAGGAGAAGGTTAAGGAAGAAGAAAACTCTGAGGGCAGCCCACGTGCCAGACAACAGTGATACAGAGCAGGATATGATTGACTTCAAGCCTGTCCGGAAAGTCAAGGGTGGAAAGGTTCCTAAAGGAGAAAAAGTTACTACATCTACTCCTACAAGAGAGGAGAGTGGAGTTGCTGCTCAAGCAGTAAGAAACAACGACAAGAATGACAGTGATGCTTCTCTGGAACTAGTGGAAATTTCAGCACCTCAGTGTGATGTGGTTGATGTTGGTTCATCAGAGTCAGGAGATGAGAAACCAGATGGTCTGTCAAAGAGGGATTCATGCAATTCTGTGGATCAAGCAGCCCTAGAGGCATCTTGCTCTGGTTATGATGAAGTGAGCTCCACCAGTGAGATTGGCACAAATTCTAGGAATGATGGGAAAAGAAGGTGAGATTATTGTAGAGCTCTGAAAAGTAAAATTATTAGTATTATATAGTATATTCATAAGAGGCCTCTTTTTCATTCAGACAGTCTTACATCAGTGACTTCGGGAGTGAAATAAAAGGGGCAATAAAAACTAACTTGGCTTTGGCTTTTTTGGTCAACAAGTGAATGTGTCTTGTTACCTAGTAATTTCCCTTAATACAAGAGCAGGGCTGCCCAGTTTGGTTTTGAGCTTATCTGTCACAGCATATTTTCCACTAAGTGCAGAGTTTTGTGTTTTGGAGTATTACTTACCCCAGCATTTTGTCTGAAAATGAGCATGCGAAGTCCAATCTTGCTACTGTTTATTTTTTGTCTTACAGTGTGGCTGAGATACAGACTTCCATATCATCCCTAAGAGGATCAAAGAATTCTTCAGGTATATCTATTAAGCTTTCCTTCTGATGCTTTGTATGTAGTATCTTGCAGGACTTTGTGTTAAATCTTGATCAGCCTGCTTCCATTGGGGAATTTTGCCCTGAAGATCAAAGCTTACACTCAAAACTGAAGTGGGAAGTGACACATACTCACTTACATCATCTTACATTGAATGCTTTGTGTCTTGACTCCTCCACATTCCCCTGCACTTCCCACATGAGCATTATTCCTCCACAGTCTCTGTAGAGCTCTAGGACAAGCAGTAATACAGTCTCTTTTTAATTTTAAAGATAGGTCTGGACTTAGTCATATGAAGGTCTTTTTAGCACTTTATATTGCCCTCTGTCACATTCACAGTCCTGCTGAAATCCACAATGAGATTTGACTTAAAGGTTCTGAGCCCATGAAATGGTTCTGCTGGTTGACAGCAGCATGTTTTCTTGACTGTGTTCCCATACTGAAAAGTACATGTCTCTGTCCTACAGAAGTGTCTTCAGAGCCAGGTGAGGATGAAGAACCTACTGAGGGAAACTTTGAGGGACACTTGGCTGCAGTGAATGCTATTCAGATTTTTGGGAATTTGTTGTATACCTGCTCAGCAGACAAAACAGTTTGTGCCTACAATCTTGTTGTAAGTAAGGTTGTGGGAGTGGTGTTATTGCAATCACAAGGTTCTTTTGTAATGCCCTACTGTGTAGTAAAGGAAGCAGCTGCTTCTTCAAGCTTCTAATTTATTTTATACTGTTCTTCAAACCTCTCTTCTCCACCTCCCCAACCCTTTCTCCCTATGAGCAAGGCAAGGAGAGATAGATTGCCACATATATCCTGATTTTTCCAGCTGTCCTACCTTATTCTGTTAGGTACATATTTCAAGAGGTGTTATAGGCCTTTATGCTGACAGACTCCATGCTTTCCTTTTTAGAGCAGGAAGTGTGTGGCCATCTTTGAAGGACATACTTCGAAAGTGAACTGCCTTCTGGTCACTCAGACAAATGGGAAGAATGCTGCACTCTACACTGGCTCAAGTGATCACACTGTCAATTGTTATAATATCAAGGTACTCAAACTCTGTTGATTTACACATGCTGCATTTTATGCAAGTATTTCTTTACATATAAAAATTTTAAAAGCCTTCCAAACCCATATGATCTGGACATGAACACCACTTAATACCTCTTTAGATTAGAGCAGGGGGAAAAAAACCAGACAAGCAAGACAGCAAACCAGTAATGATTTACTAATCAGTTGACTAATCTTTTGACTAGCTTGTCAGTAGAGTTTTTGCTAGAACAGCGTGGCATAATCCCAAATTTTGGGAATACCAAAGTGCAGGATAGCTGTTTGGCTGTGAATCTTATTTCCTCTTCCTGTATTTTAACTTCATTGCTTATGGAAGGCACTGCTCTCTGCTCCATCTTTAGAGCAGCCATAGAGAGAACAGGTATCTGTTTTGCTGAGGGCATGTGAAAGAGTAGACTGAGGCTTCCTGAAGCTGGATATTTGAGGCTAAACGATAAAAAGACTTGCTCAGCCTGTGACTTGAAAGACTAGAAAGCATGTATCTGCGTCAGGGAGCAAACTGCCAGAGGTTTTAAACTCTTTAAGTTCCCTGTGGGGAGCTTAATGGGGAATCCTCAATCAGATAATAGATGGTTTTCATATGTATATATATATATACAGTCAGAAGTCTAAATTTCTATACACATTAAAGGTTGTGATTAGAACAAAGTGTTAAGGGTTAGAAATGGTTGCTGAACTACAGTCAAGCCTTAGCGATTGATGGCCCTGATTAAAATGAGGGTCAAACTGCCATGTGACACCAGACTCTCAGATTTTTTTCTCCAGTTCTGTTGGTTTAAAAAGTGAAAATCATCATTCATTTAAGGCTTTTTTCTTGAATTGTTTTCAGTTAATGAAAATCTTTAAGTACTTCTTTCCATTGCTAGACCAAAGAGTGCATGGAACAGTTTAAATTGGAAGATCGAGTGCTCTGTTTACACAGTAGATGGCGGATCCTTTATGCAGGTCTTGCAAATGGCACTGTGGTTACTTTCAGCATAAAGGTTAGTTTGTTTAAATATTGGCACCTGAAAGCCTATTGTGATACTGTTTCTTTCCTCTGTGTTTCTTTCCATTCTTTATCTACAGTAGTAAATATATTTGTAATGAACTCATTTTGGTATAAATGGTAACTGTTGGCCCCTTTTGGTTGTTTATTTTGTCCATGCATGAAGCTGTCCTATCTACCTATCTCTTTGTTTACTTTTCTTTCAGGTGCTGTATTGTTATGTTTTTCTTTAAGGTTCATCCTGGCCTTCATAAAATAAGGAGTTATTTCTTTGATTTGGAAACTTAAAGTTGTTGGTAGTGGGCTCTTATGACTGCACCATCAGTGTGCGAGATGCACGGAATGGGCTGCTTCTCAGAACCCTGGAAGGTCACAGCAAGACTATTCTCTGCATGAAGGCAAGTGTCTCTGAAAATACATTTTGCACAAAGAATGCTTAGAATGATGAGCAGATTGTGATAGGAAATAGAGGATTTCTGTATTTTAAGAGAGGTTTTCTCCATCCTTAGAACACAGCCTGTTCCAATGCCTGGTCATCCTTTCAGTGAACAAACTTTTCCTAATGCCCACTCTAAATTTTCCCTGATGCACCTTGAGGCTGTTTCCTCTTGTCTTATCACTTGTTAGGGGTTAGTAGCATAATTTCTCTTGCATGAGCAGCATATAAGTAAGTATGCAGCACATCCAAAATTTCCAGGAAACATCGAGCTTTACTGCGCACGTGCAGAACAACATTCTGCATTCAGTTTGCTTGGTCCCTGATTTGCTGCTGAGCTGTCTCTGAGAATAATCCATAGGCAAGGCAAGCTACCTGTTGGGTTGCAACTTAAAAGCTTCTTATGTCACCTGTGAAATGTCAAAAATCATTGTAATATATCTAGCTCTTACATAAAGAGCTCAGTGCATGCTTTTTCCTTCATACTCTTGATTGATTTTAAGTATTCCAAGCTTAGGAAATACTACAGCACAACTTTAAACTAAGTAGTGTCTTAATATTTTGCCTGTCCCTTTCATATCTGATACAAAATATAATACTTTCTTTTTTTGTAAGGTTGTGAATGATCTGGTATTCAGTGGTTCCAGTGATCAGTCTGTCCATGCCCACAACATTCATGTAAGTCTCGTATAGAAAGATGGATTAACTTTTGCTATTAAGGCACTGAATTTGTATGCTATAAAGTCAGTACTTCCAGAATATTTGACTGACTGGTGGGGCAGATTGCTTCCAGAAAAGGAAGTCTTATGATTTTGTGAATGTGACTGTGTAACTCTGGAGGCATGAAGAGGCTACATAAACCTGCTGACTCTTGTCACATGATAGGCAATGCCTTTTTATCTGGGCATCTTGTTTTTGCAAATGTAACTATAGACATGCTGATAACACGGAGAAGGTTCCAAGAAAAACATGTGAGATATTGTGGTGGGGAAAAAGTTTCTTGATTAATGGAAGAATTTGAGGAGCACTGTGTTCCACGCTAGGTGGTTCAAAAGCATCATGAATGCTTTGTCTCTAGCTTACCATTCTCTCCCTCTTTTGCACCATCTTCCCTTAGTCCTGGCAGAAGCATTCATGTAGTTATGCAGCAAGTTAGATTAAGAAACTTACCAGAGGAAAATTTTAGTACATTTCTGTGTATTTAGCTGAATTTGCTGAATGATCTTTGTCATGACATAAATAGTGCTAATACTAATAGCATGGTACTAGTTTCAGGATGGGTGAGAATATGTAACTAATGATGGAAACAGAAACAATTAGGTTGGAAAAGACCCCTGAGATCATCGTGTCCAACCTGTGACCAAGCACCATCATATCGGCTAGACCATGGCATTGTGAGCATCCAGTCTTTCCCTAAATGCTTACAGGGACAATGACACCAACACCTCCCAGGGAAGCCCTTTCTAAAATCTAATCATTCTTTCTGTGAAAAATTTCTTCTTAGTGTCCAACCTCTTCTGGCACAGCTTGAGGTCATTTCCTGTTGTCCTGTTGCATGGGAGAAGGGGCTGACTTTCTCTGGCTACACACTCCCTTCAGGGAGTTGTAGAGAGTGATAAGGTCCCCCCGAGCCTCCTCCTCTCCAGGTTTAACAACCCCAGCTCCTTCAGCTGCTTCTCATTACACTTGTGCTCCAGACCCTTCACCAGCTTCTTTCCCTTCTTTAGACTCACTCCAGTACCTCAGTGTCCTTCCTAAACTGAGGGGCCCTTGAGATGTGACCTCACCAGTGTTGAGTTCAGGGGAAGAATCACTTCCCTTCCCTGGTCCTGCTGGCCACACTATTCCTGGTGTAGGCTGGAATACCATTGGCTTTTTAGCCACCTGGGCACACTGGTGACTCCTGTTCAGAAGCAGAAAAAGAGAACTTTACAAAGACCCATGCATTTCTATTGTACTGGAATGGCTCTGTGTTAGGATGGGCAAACAAAAGGATAAATAATATTTGATCATATTCAAATATGATTCCTTCACAGGGAATGGAAGTCTAATAAAGGTTGTTTCCATATTTTAGTAGTGAGCACTGAAGCTAGCTACCCTACATGGATTAGGTGAACCTATTTGTTCTTTTGATTTTTCAAACCAAACGCCTATTTACCGTCGCTTTTTCTTGATGCAGACTGGAGAGCTGGTACGGATCTATAAGGGCCATAACCATGCAGTAACGGTTGTGAACATTCTTGGGAAAGTCATGGTGACAGCATGTCTGGATAAATTTGTTCGTGTTTATGAACTACAGGTAAAAAAATAGGTGGTTACTAATTACATTTATCTAATACGTGTTAATTAATGATTTTGAAGTCAAATAGAAGTCATCTTTGTACTTTCTGGTCTCTAGCCCATCCCTCTTTTTCCTGTCACTCAGTATATGTTGTCTCACCAGTCAAAATACATGGGTTTTAAAGAATATAATCTAAACCACTTTTTTAGAACCTAGGTTATTCCAAGACAATGACAGCTCAGAAAAGTGGGAAAATGTTAGCTTTGTGTGCTGAGAGAACAAGTCCTTAGTTGGACAAAAAGACTCCCAGAAGCAATGTAAACAAAAGTGAGCTTTCAAGGTGACTGTAAAGTTTGGAATCCACCATAGCAGTTTAATTGCTACCAAAGAAACTGTTCTTGGAAGTATTATCCTTTAGATGTCTGTGAAAAATGGCTCCTAAAAATGTCTTGCTATTAAATGTCTGTTTCTGTTTCTTTCCAGTCACATGACCGCTTGCAAGTCTACGGAGGCCACACAGATATGATTATGTGTATGACCATCCATAAGAGCATGGTACGTCCTTTCTTTTCACCATTCTTAAAGAGAAGGTTGTAATTGCCACAGGTAAACAAGGCAGTTTAATTTCTTCAGATAAAGAAATCAGCCTGCTGTTTGGCTGCATTTCCAAGTTGCTCTCAGTCAAAAAATCAAGTGGCTATAACAGCTTTATATGCATGTAATAATGTTGTCTGGGGAAAAATCACTGTTCAGCTTACTGTAGTCTTAATACAATAGTTCTTTTTGCAGTTATGATTACAGCAAAGACACTAGAAATAGTAAAGTACTTCTGCTTTTTCAAGTGTCAATCCTGTTTAACTTTTACTTAAGGGCATCACTCAGGTGCTGGAGAAATACTTCACCCAAAGCCAGACCTCTAGCAACCTTTGACAGAACATGAACAAAGGTGTGCAGTTGATTCGGGTGTAGAGGTTTCTCCATGCATCTGACTCACAAGATAAATTTCAGAAGCACTTCTGGATAAATATTTCTTAAAATAGTTTTTAAAAGCACTTACTTGTCTGCATGTCTAGGAATTTGTTTGGAAGGTTTCTTTGAGAGTGTAAAATGAAGGGTATAGTAGTGATCTGTATAATAATAATAGAAAAGTTAAGTCCAAAGGAACAGATTTCCTAATAATTGGAATACATTCTGCCCAAGCATCGCATCTCATGTGAGTCCAACCTAAGGCTTGAACTGTGCCCCAGCAGTGGTCTGTTGTGGGCATTCTCAATTAAAAGAAGGATTCAGATGAGAAGTTTAGTGATGAGTGAAAGGATCTGCTTTAGTCTTTCTGAAATTCTGGTGTTCTTCTACACACTTCCTCTCCATCCTATTTTGATATAATTAATTAAGTCCCAGAAATATATTCAGCTTGACATTTACACCTACATATTTTTTAACTTTAGTGTATAGTACCATAATTTAAACTTTTCTGGACTGTTACACACACGACACTATCAACAATAGAGGTTATGGAAGCATTTCTTACTAATTTGTAGATTTTTGTGAACTATGAATGCAAACATTAAAATAATTTAATAATTTGATAATACCTATTTTTTAAATGTAGAAGCCTTGCGTACTGATATTTCATTGTTTTTACCTGCACTGAAGTCTCCTTCAAAATTTTACTTTTTTTTCCTCTTTTATTCCCAGATTGTTTATCCATAAATGTTTCTTTTACAGATCTACACTGGCTGTTATGATGGCAGTGTCAGAGCTGTGAGGCTTAATCTGATGCAAAATTATCGATGCTGGGTAATTAGCAAATTGTATTTAGTCTTCATTATTGAATTTTCTGGGGGTGGGCTCTAGTCACTTAGTCTTTGGTAGTTTGACCTTAGATTTTTCACAATTCATTATTATTTTAAAGTGTGTATGTACTTTTAAAGTATATATCACTTAGGTATATATCACTAGTTTAATTTTTTGTTGTCTTCACTGTGTGCATATATGTGTGTGTGTGTGTTGCTTTGCGGCAAGTTGTTAGTGTAAATTACTGTTCTTTCTGGCAGTTTTCAGTTTTTAGACATATCACTATTTAATACCAAAAACTTTGGCTGAGTGACATAGAAAAGCTGATTTACTGTGAAAAATAAGTTAATTAAATTCCAAATGACTTTGTCATAGGTAAGCTTAAATTTTGTAAAGATTTAGTTCCTCTCTTCCTCCTGCCATTCCTGCTGATGGGTCTAGGCTTGGCTAAAGGCAGGAAAATTTTCTTTAAGGCTGTACTTAAAGGAATAGAGACCATGGAAAATGGAAATTGAATAAGATAAAAAACTTACAGGATTTGGCAGGTGTGCTTACAGCCTTGGAAGAATATTGTGAAATTGCAGGAAGAAAAGCATTAGCAAAAATTGTATTTCCCTGGCTTATTCTGGTGTGTTGGGTTTTTTCCCAGTGGCATGGATGTTCACTGATCTTTGGAGTTGTGGACCATCTGAAACAACACCTGCTAACCGACCACACCAATCCAAATTTTCAGACCCTGAAATGTCGTTGGAAGAACTGTGATGCTTTCTTTACTTCCAGGAAAGGTTCCAAGCAGGTATGTGCTTAAAATAACATGACTGTATTTGGTAATATAAAGTACCTTGTATCACCACAGTTGTGGGACTTGATCTTATTTCTCTTAAAAAGGCTTAAATTTTTCTAGCCTTGGCAGGCTTAAGTGCATGTGGTTACAGTCATCCAGGGCTAACAGGGTTCAGTTCAGCCCATGGCAGACGAACAGTGCAGCTATGATAATTTGACATATGATCAATGTAAAAAAACAGTTTGATCCTAAAATATTACATGGAAATGGTAGAATTCTCAAAATATTAAAGAAAATATACTCAAGATACTAGGAAGTTTATGAAGGAAAAATAACTTCATAAGATGAAAAAACATCTGCCTTAAAACAGGTTTTTATCCTTTTAATTTTTATTTTTTCCTATCTCTTTCATTGTTGTTTATTTTTCACGCGAGATTGTCAGCAAAAACAATCTTTAAATTGTTTAAAAGTCGTGCATAAAAAATTAAAGAAGAAAATGAGGAAGGCTTAAGAGTTGGATTAAGTGATGTGAAAAGGATTGTGGGATGGGTGTAAGGAGGGCTGTTACCTATAGACTGATTGGTATAATCTGCATTTTAGTCCTTGGCACAGTATAAGCTGCCTTCCTTTGAATGCTTTCCAAAGTATGGGAAGGATGGAGGTTTCTTCAAGAATTAACAAACAGTAGAATTCTTAATTTCTCTTTAAGTCTGGGCTTTAGATATGATGTGTTTATTTAATTTACTCTTCTAATCAAAAAGGAAACTGGTTTTTATTTCCCTTTAATCATGTGGGATGTGAAACACTTCATATGTGATTTAATAGCTTGACAATGATAATATTTATCTTGTTAGAGGCTTTAAGCCAAGCAAATGTATATTACCTTGAATGTCACCTTCACTGAGGCTTCAAAGACTTTTGCAAAGAATTTGCAATAGAATCTTTTGCGAAGTTTTTTGTGCAGTTTGTTGTGATGATCATAATGATTTTTTTTTTAATTGACTTCTGGTTTTTTTTCTAGGATGCTGTAGGACACATTGAAAGACATGCTGAGGATGACAGCAGGATTGACTCGTGAAGTTTTTCACCTCCCACATTGGGAAGTAATTTTGTATGTCAAAATTATTCCAAATAACATCGGTTTCTTACTCCGGTCTTTCCTCTTTCTTTCCCCGCTTGGAATGCAAAAACTGAGTGGGGCTGAAATGCATTCTACAGAGACTGCAGGTTGTGTTGTACTCTGTAGAAATAAGGCTGGTAATTAAGACTTAGCCCAAGTTCTTGCAAGTTTTTAGTTCATTGGTGGACAAGAATATTCCTTCCCCTTGTCTGCCTTGTTTTTTTTGTTGTTTGTCTCTTTTCAGATGGTTTTATTTGTTTTTTTAAGAAGTACAGTCTTTGGGAAGTCCAAAGGGGTGTTGAAAACTTAGATTACAATAGGTGCTGCTGTTTGCAAACTCAGCTTGCAGCCTATTATGTGTCCAAGGTGTGTCAGGTTTTGTTGTATCCAATTTTTTAGCTGATTTTAATAAAATTCTGCAAACCAGAATATCACAGATTCTAACAATGTAACCTGAATATCCAGTGTACGTTTTTACTTTCTTCATAAAAATAAAAGTTATTTTATGGAGACTGGAATAAATTAATTTTTTAATGTTAATTGTATGTAACTTATTTTTTATTCCTTGTGTAAAAATTGCTGTAACTGGCACAATATATACAGTGATAGATACCATACCTCTTGAGGTATTTTGTTTATTTTGAGGAAAGTGGTTATTTCTTGAGAGAGATGCCAGTAGCAGCAAAACAGCCAAAACAGTGGCTCTACTCACATGCTTTGCAATCTTAGTCTTTTTCAGTATAGGTCCAAATGTATGGGAAAAAAGTAAGTGGTGTTTGTTTCTCTTTTAGTTAAAGAGCAGTGTAACCACCACTGCTGTCTTGATAAAACACTGTAATTGGATTGCTGATTTTGTGAAATCTTAGTGACTGAGCTTTGCAGTCCCATATCCTCATGGCATAGCAAACCAAGAGAAATGCAAAGGCACTGTGTGTCTGAGTGCATCCGCTTTGGTAGTGTTTTGTTTCTGTTGTGAACTGGCTTAATTGTCTTGGGCTATATGAAGTTCACAAAAACTCAACTGGAAAGAATGGAACAGGGTTTTAAAGTCTAAAGTTCTCAAGCAGAAGCTGAGGATATGAAATGCATATCACATGTAAAAGTCTTGTTTCTCCTAATGCACAGAAGGTACCACAGTGAGGCCAGTGCAGAAGGGAAGACTGAGCTTGTCAGGGTTCTCCTGCAGGTGTCCCCTTGAGTGGGATTGCTTCGCTTCAGAAGTTCAGTGAAATGTCCTTCTGGCACTTGCCATCCTCTCTCCCCTCCCTAATGACACTAATTTATGACAAAGAACCCTCTTAACGCTGAATCTAATCTAGCAAGGAGCTTTGTGTTCACTTTTGCCTAACTTTGGTGCTCAGGATAAAATAAGCAGAGGTTTTCCCAAGCTGTAAGAGAGGGTGAAGGCAGTGAACTGAGCTGCTTGTACACAAATTCAGCGCTTTTCAAAAAATCCTGAGTGGACTGTTTTTACTAGGTATCTTATTCACAACCACTTTCAAACTTGTCAACCATAGACCAAATAAGTTTTATAGCCTCATTCTTTGACTGTAAAGAAGCCTTTTTAGGCCAAGAAAGTGAATAATTCAGGAAAGCCCATGGATGTTCCACTGCCATCCAATCAAGGAACTTCAGGGCCTTCTCTGGAGCACACTGGTTTTGTATTATCTTAGCAGACAAGCAGAATTGCTCTGACTGATGGATATTATTTGTGAGATGGGAGGAAAATAAGAATGAGATGTAGTAGTATCCTACTTCAAAGACATGGGAATCTCTGAGGTTCCAGTGCTTTTGTGGTGATTTAGTTTGTTTATTTTTTATTAAGCTGTTTGTGGATAGCAAAGAGCCCCAATATGTGGCTCAGACCTCAGGCTGTTCTGAGGGTGTTCTTGTTTTGGTTTTTAGGGGATGTGTGTTTGTGGTTTTGGTGCTGGGCTTTTTTAATCTTTCTTTCTATGGACTGTGGATGAAGCAGTTCAATAGAGAATCAAGTCTGGGGAAGTCTTTAAGCAGTGTAGATGTTTTGGGATGGAGGGTGTAATGCTCTAAAGCCTGAGAGCATTTGTGTGGGTTTTTTGATGACCTAAAAGCAGAAGACTGCATAATACTTAAACCATTTCCAAAGGTGATGGTATTCAGGAGTTCTGAGAGTTTTTTGAACCATGATGAGGGAGCATGTAAGTGTGGCATAAACAGGGTAGGCATCCTAAGCTGTCCTTCATGGACTGTGCTGCAAGTGAAGGTGTGGAGGTATGTCCCGAGGACAAGTCTGTGGGGCAGTAGTGGCATTCTGAAAAACATGTGTGAGAGTAGATTTTGTTACTTCTCCCTTGTGAGTCTTTACATTCTTTCAGCTGTTTTCAGGAACATATAAGGATCTTTCTCATTAGTTGTTGCAATAAACACAGTTATGACACTTTATTTGCATTCCCATTTGCTTGTTGGATTTATCTTTTCTAGTTGGTGGAAGCAGTCTTTCTTTTTGTGGTGGTCCATGATATTTCCTTAGCTGTCTTGAAAACAATCCTCCTGAAAAGTCTGGGCTACTGAAGTCCAGCTTTAGCAGTTGTGTCTTTTGCTGCTTTGTAGGTCATATCAGATACATTGTAAGAGATGGGAAAATAGCAGAGCTACCCGAGTTAAAAATTTTACTTCATAATTCAGAAACAATTTTTTAAAATCCTCGGGTTCAGAGGAAAATGCTGGTTTTCATGAGGATATCTTAAAAGGATTTGCTATAAAGTGGTGCAGCTGTGAAAATCCCCAGGCTTCTCTGGATTTCTGTGGAGTGGTTTCCTATTTGTTCAGTTGGAATTTGGTGCAGATTTCACAACTGGCCATTTACTTTGTCTGGAGGCAATTGCAGAACAGAAATGCCAAAATAATGTTTGTTGGTGTTTGTCAGTGAGATCCTCTCTGGTCTTGCAACTGAGGGTTTTGACTCCTGATATACCTCTAGCTGAAGAATGCAATAACTTTGGCAAGATGGGCTGTTTGTGACATTTAACACAGTAATATTTGCATGAAAAGCAGTACTGCACATCTGAAGCCAGTTTCAGGATTACTTATTTTTGGTTTTGGTTTGTTTTTTATGCAAGTAAAAAATTGTGGGTGGAAGAGTGAGTAGAGTGAAGATTTATTTTGTGATTAGCTATGGATTTTTTATTAGTCTACTGTTAAAAAAAGTTTTGGACTTGCTGTATGACAGCCCTTTAGGGGCCTTTTGGGATTGGTCTATATTAGTTTCACCTTTCTCCTTCAAATTTCAGAGAAAAATAACAGCTATCTGGCAGTGCAAAATACTCTGGCCTAACACTGCTGCTTCTGTACGTGGAAGGGGATGGAGGGAAAACTGCATCTCTTGGTACAAAGATGCATTAAATATCCAGGCTTCTGCTTACCTTGTGTCAGTTATATGTGAATTAGACTTTAAACCTAGTATCAGCACATAAGTTGGCTTCTGCAAAATAGCAGGAGCTTGGCTGTGTGGTGTGTTTGAAGTAGTGCAGTTCTTAATGCACATTTTCAAACAGTACAATCATGCTGGATCAAGGTAAATTATAACTGCAAACTTGCAAATGGCAGGGGAAATGTTTTTGTTGGGAAAATACTTTTCCCTTAAGTTGAATTAAAACACAGGTACAGGTGAATCTTGGTTTTTTCTTGGGCCTGTATTGTACTATAATTCAAGCAGTCTGAGTTGTCCAGAGTTGCAGAATATGTGAGGAAGGATGAGGAAATGGTTTCAGCTGCTGTTTGTAAAATAATTAATCCTCAAAGAGCAAACTGTGTAGGTATATATTCTGTTATATGCGCCTGCCAGCTTCTCAGATTTCATTTTGCTGTAACGTTAAACAGTCTTCTTAAAGAATGGAAGTGGAATAGAACAACTTGATTGAATATTTGATAATGTAAGCTGTGTAAAACATGTGCACAGATGGATCATGGTTTTTTTCTCTCATTTTGGTACAAAGCTGTGAGTGTAATAACGAAACTTTACATGGCAAAAGAAGAAATAAAAAAAATAAAGTTCTTTATATTGTTATGGTTCGTCTGTTTCTCCTTTGTTTTAAATAGAATGATTCTTTCACAGGATTTGGTAGAATTTTATTTGGTTTTGATTTTTTCCTGTTCTGTGAGTGCTGGATAATATCAAACAGGCCACTTTGAAGCTCCAGCACTGGCAGGAATGTTACAGGTGTTCAGGAATCTCAGACCTAGTCATTTGGCAGGGAAATGAAACTGCCCACCCAACTGCTGCCCCCAGGCTGATGTGCTGCGTGTATTGCTTCATGGCCCATTGCTAGGGAAGTTCTCTAGAGCTGTAGAACTTGTTGGCAGTTCACTCACCAGAACTGTATAAGGACCATTTTTGAGTTGCCAATTAAAAATCCTGATTTTTATCTTTTAACTGATAGGTTTTGTTTTTAATTGGATCATCCCAACTAAGAGCATCTCTGCCATACTTGTATGGAAAACAGTAGCTCAGTGGAGGTAAGGCATGGCTGGAAGCTAGGGCTCCAAGTGTTCCAGTCATCTTAAAAACTATTTGGGTTAAAAAACCAGTTGAATTTGAAGGACAATAGCTGTTCTTTAGATAAATTATAGGACTTTCTTCCTCTTTCAGAGTAAGTTACAGTGCAAGACAACACTACGAACTTTGCAGTCAAAAGGTTTTCTGCTTCTTCGTGACCTTTCAGTTCAATGTACTATTCACTGGAGTAACTTTGAGTTGATGCTACAATTTTTTTTGAAAATTTTGCTTTACATTAGTGGATTGCTTTGCTACTTTTTGTTACTAGAGAACTAAGTAAAAGGTTCTCCTGACAAAATCTGGTATTCCTTGCATGTTTTGTTTTTCCTTCCATTTTTTATATTGTATTTGTGAAAACCTGTCATCCTTTAAGCTGGTAGCAAAGGAACCTCTCAAGTGCACTTTTTTTTTTAATGTATTCAAGGAATAAACTGGCAAATATTTGAGATATTAAGCTAATTTCACACTTGCCATAAACTCCAAAAGCTGCTGTATATTCAGGAGAATGGAAGAAGAAGTGGAGGAAGCTCAATATTTCATCTTTATCTGTTCTTTCAGAATAAAAATAAAAAGCCTAGGCCAAAATCCAATTGATTTTATTTTTGGTTCCATTAAACTAATTGTACTTGCCCATTAGAATAATATTCCCAAAGTGGTCATGCTGACATAGTATCTGATTCTGCTACAAGTCACCTCTTGCAATAAGGAAGTGCATGATAGTGTTGGGAAATAGGACCTGGGTGGGGGGAAATACATGTGTGTAGATATATAAATTTGTATGTATAAGAGGTTTTCTGCCTTGAATGGCATATAAGTTTCCCAGTGTTATGGGGAATGCAGTTGCAATGGAAAACACAATGTTCACATTTTTAATTAGGAAGAGTACTAAAAATGAGAGCAAATTGCTCAGTTCTGGTACTGCTGCTGAGGCATATCTAGCTGTACTCTGGTATTGCAGTCTGTCGTGCCCTACTCTCCTAATTTCTACGTAGCAGAGATCCAACCTGCACAGACAAATCTAACTGCAACATTGGGTTGCATAATATTAATGTAATTAGCCCAATTTCATGTGAAATATTCAGTAAACATTACAAAGAGATGAAAGGGTAATACCAAGACCAGGACAAAAAATTAATGACCAATTAGACGGTGGCAGTAAACACCTCTGACTTTCACAGTTAGATAAAGTCCCAGTTTCACTTGACTTGAGGGAAGACCTTTCCAGTTGTCAGCACAAGCAGAACACTTATGTATTCTCCATGTCTTCACCATGCAGAGAAAGCTTAATTCAGTCATCAATAAATTAATCCCTGTTGCCGAAAGGAAAAATGTCAGGATGCTATAGAATTTGTTACAGTATACATGCACTGTCCTGTCCACTAGAGTATGGTTGTCTCTTTTTCCAAGGGCTTCTTCCCATGTACTGTTCATCTTGGGGAGTGAATGACATAATTAGGAAGTGCTCCTGTTTGCTGTTGGGATGAATGGTATGAGCTCCTTGGAAGTCTTCAGCGTGCTCTTGATGGAGGCGGCCACTGCTCTGGTGTTACGCGTACAACGTGAGCTGCAGCCACTGAAAGAAGAGTTAAAGGGTAGAAGAGTTGTTGGTGTCCTGCCACCAATTGTATGAAGACACCATCATCTCTAGCTGGAGGGCAGCTGCATGCTGTCAGCATGGCAGTGGGGAATTTTCTTGAGTTTCTTGCTCTTACTTCTCCTTCCCTTGCAAAAAGTGAAGGGTGTTTTTAATGGTTTCCCTAACAAAGGGCATGCTTTGAAGTTGAAACTTTCTAATTTTTCTTAATAAGATTTTTAGAAGGTAAAGAACAATACTAAACCCCATTATCATTTAATACCATATCACTTTGTTTAATTTTAATAGCCTTATAAAAAAAAAACCTCAAAAGTTTTTAAATGGACTTTAAAGATTATATTAAGGTGTCCTTCAGCACCAGCTGGAATCTTACAGAACAGCTGTTGCTGGCAGATCATGGATGTTTTCTGTGTAAAATCGGTAGCAAAATTTTAGGAGGTTTTGGGGTTTCTTAACCAATTGGGTGGCAATTTTTAATTGAACCCTATTCATAGAGTTCTGCCTTGAAAACATGTACAATGATTAATAAAATTAAAATTTAATATTGTGACATTGTGTTAGACATACTCTCATAAAGCAGTTTACCTCTAGGACATTCAGCTTAATGATGCCATCTCCATCTTTGTCAAAGGCGTGGAATGCCCCTAAAATGAGGAAACAAAAATACAAGGAGTAGGTTAGGTTACTGTATGAGTAAAGATGATTCCCAGACAGGAAATCAAATGGTGCTTCCTTTGTGAAATGCCACCTTGTGCAGGTCTTTACTTGTGGGGTCAGCAAGTATTTCTGCTTCATTTTTCCTTAGTTAATTCAAGGAGAAACACAGTGGGTTATTTTGCCTTTGTATGAGACAACTTGTCATCTTAGATTCCCTAAGCACATATCTTTAGTAATTAATACCCTACACAGGCAGTAGTGCTGCGAACAAACTTCGCTGTGAGTATGACAGGGCTCTGAGCAACCTGGTGCAGTGCAAGGTGTCCCTTCCCACAGCAGAGGGGTTGGGACCAGATCATCCTTAAGGTCCTTTTCAGCCCAAGCCATTCCCTGGCTACATGGCTGTGTTTGGGGGCAGGAGGGGAGGCAGTGCCGCCACACCGGGGCAGCCACTCACGGAACATGGCGTCCAGGCGCACAAAGCAGCAGATGAAGCTGTTGAAGTCAATGTTCATGTTCTTGTCTGCGTAGCGCATGGTGATGATGTCGTAGAGCTGGTTGTTCAGCCGAAACCCTGCAGAGAAGCAAAAACGGAGCACAGCTGGGCCTCGGGAGGGGAAAGCGCTGCTCCATGAGGGGCTTGGCACAGGCACTCCCCTGGCTGGGCCCAGGCTCAGGCTGGAAGGTCCTGCTGCAAGTACTAAACAAAATGAAGTCAAGCTCTAAGGAGCTTCACTGTGTCCAGCTGCCTTCCTAAGCCAGGAGCAATGTTTTGAAGTTGTGATTTGGGAGGGCCCTTAGAACATAGTTACCTCAGGCTGTAAGCATGAAGAGGAGAGCTGCAGCCCCAGAGGGCCTGATGGCTCAGCTGGGCCTGCTGAGGGCAAATCAGCTAAAACTGGGGGACAGAAATGGAGGAAGTTGCTATAAAAACACAGTTAAACAGTGGTCAAAAAATAGAGAAGGAAGCAACTCCTTGGTGTGGTGGAGCCAAACTTTGGCACTGAATGCTGCAGCCTGTGCCTCTGACTTGAAAGGGTCCGTCACAGTTTGGGTACAGCTGTTTGTTGGCTAAATGCAAGGTCATGCACAGCTTACATGATGTAAGACTGAAATATTCTTGGCTCTAAAGTCAGGGCAGGATTTATTTAAATAATTTCTCTTTTTACAGTGAGAACAGAAACCCAGAAAATAAAAATTACCCATAGTTCAGCAGGAGTCAAAATCCAGGTGTCGTTTTGTCTTTAGCAAAAGATTACAGAATCACTGAGGTTTTGTAAAGCACAAGGTAGCCATTTGTTTCTGTTCCTTGATGTGCCAAAATACTACTGGAAGCAAGTGTCACTGAAATAATCCCATTTAGGTTTATAGTAATACTACAGATTTTCTGATCAAAGACATCATCTCTCTCCCTTACAGACCTGGTAAAGATATCTGTGGGAGGAGGACTGCTCCCCAGGGGAAGAAGCAACCTGGTGTGTCTTAGACAAGCAAGAGAAGTCCAAAGACTCTCTTTTCAGAATTACTTTCATTAACTGCAAATTTTGCAAAAATACTTTCTTCTCATTGTGCAGGTAGATGAGACTGAACCCACAGTGTCTCAGTACTACTGAGAAACATTAACATGACTCAAGGAATGTCCACACAATTGCCTGTGATGCAAACTTGGACATGGACATGCTCCATCCTGGTTTTGGTGCTTGTACATTCAGGTTGAAGGTTTTCCACTGCTCTTGTTAGTTAAACACACAAATGTATAGAATCCACTGCTTAAAGGAGAGTAAATGTCTTCAGCGCTCCCTGGTCTCCCCGAATAGCAGAACCCTGAGTAGGACATCGTTATGACAGCAAAAGATCACTCATTGCATTAAAGAAGAGCTGAAGAGATCTATTTGTCTGGAAAGACATACAAGGCTTGCCATTTGGATATTTGAGAAACTCTGCCAGTGGGGGAAAAAACGTTTTATAATTTCTACAGGATCTGTCCTTAAAAGGCACAGCTGTGTGTTCAGTGATCTCACCCTGTGATGCACCAAAACAAAACAAGATTTCTTCAGCTGCTGGACACTGCACTGGGGAAAGTACCTGCATCATTGACTGCATTGCGCATCTCGTAGCTGTTAATGGTTCCTGAATGATCCGTGTCATAACGCTTGAAGATTTTCTGGAAAAAGAAAGAAACACAGCAACTGTAATAAAAACTTGTATTTCTCTTGAATGCACCCGCTGAGTGGATATGGGATGTGTGCCTCTGGTGCCTGGAGGCTTTGCTATGTGCCTTATATTGCCACTGCTGAGCAGTCTGGGTTGTTAGCACAGAGTTTCTCTCAGTTGCAAAGTAAAGTAATTTAGATCCAATCTCTGGGAAGCAAAAAAGCTCTCCCCTTGAGACTCTCCTTGTTTGACTTGAATTTATGCTGGTAATCCTCCCTCTTCATTGCCCTAATTATTATTGAGGCCTGATTCTAGTTCCCATCATTCTCCTCCTTCAATTTGTATGTCTCTGTGCTATTCACATCGGGGAAGGCTGTACATGAGAAATTCAGGCTGTTTGCTTGGGCTGTGAAGTAGGATGAGGAGGGACGTTACTTTTCATTTTCAAAGGTAATTCCCAATTATTTTTTAGCCTTTCTTTTTGGTGGAGTGCATGTGGGGCATTCTGGTTTTCCTGTAGAACATTTGCACTGCAGAAGCTGTGAAGAAGAGCAATACCTGCCAGCTTTTAATCTTGTCCCAGAGATGTCGAAATTCATCAAAGTTTATCTTCCCTGAGCCATCCGTCTGTGATGCAAACATTCAGGTAAAAAAACCCCCAATATTTTCAGGATAAAATTACTTAAGTCTGTAACTACTGGTGAAGGGATGAATGTGAAACTGGGTTTGGAATCTCCTCAGCATTAAGAGTGGACTCAGCTGTGCATTAAAATATTCATAAACATTTTGGTTATTGTGCATAGCATAATGCTTCAGGAGTGTGAAGTACTACTTATACATTGCGTAGAAACAAACTTCTGGTACAGGATACAGCTTTGCCTCTGGAACTATTCTAAAAGTGCGTGAGTAGGATGTTTTAGTGGGCTCTTCTGAAATACCTCCAAATGTGAAGCTCACCCAGTGCTTTTTAAGACAACTGAGCTTTACTCTAGAGGGAAGCTCTTTCTGCCTTGCTTAAAATGAATTGAGAAATAAGCAAAATGTTGTCTAAAGCTATTTTCAAAAATGTGTTTAGGCTCCAACCATTATGGCTGTGGGTTATAGTTACACTTTTGTTCTGGTTATGTTTGAATGCACTTATATTCTTTCAAAATTGTGTTATGTCAAACTGGAAAACTGAGGGTGGTTGTGGCAGAGGAAACTATGTGGCATCTTATAGTCTGTTTTATTGTGCTTGTTCCAGACAAATTCTGCCTGCATTGCAAGCTGAGCATACAGTAGAATATGTGATAAATTATAAACTTAAAGAGATAAATATAGTAAGTTCATTGGCAAGAACTATAATTATGTTGAGTTTGTTTTAAATATAATAATCAAAAAATCATGCTTTAATACATAATGTGACCAGTCTCTGATATCTAAACAAGAATGTCATACTGATTGATTTATTCTGTAGCTTTTTTTGGGGGGATATATTTCTCTGCCAATTATGCTAATGTTGACATGACTGGAATTAAGATGTGCCAAACCAGGAGTGCTTTTTTATCTGACTACAATTTGCTGTTTCGTTTCACTGGTTTACTAAGTTGTGTGTGTGTGTGGGGTGGTGAAAAATAGTGAACTCAAGTGGTTTCAAGCACTCCCTTTACACCAGAAAAGGATACATCCATTAAGGCAATCATGCTGCGGCAGGACTCCAATTCGAACCCTTCTGACCTTAGGTCCTTATCTGAAACAAATGATCCCAGGTGAATACAAATCATTCAAATCAGCAAGTGATTTTCCTCTCAGGTGTAACTCTAATCAAAGCAAAAGCCAAACCGGTTACTAAGCAAGCAGGGTCTGTAGGTTAAAGTTTGCTAAACAGGGAGAAAGGTCTGACTCTCCACTAGAAAATTTTTTAAAGAGCATTTGCAGAAAATTGCATTATTGCCCCATGTGGTAGTTCCAATGAACATCTGCTCATTTCTAGATTATCAGTGCTAACAACCTGTAGAGACCATCTCTGTGAAAAGTTCAGCTTGTTAAAGTCTCAGATGCAATGTCCATGGAAATGTAACTGGGAAATTTCTGAGTTTGAAAACATCAATAATTTTTAGAGTGCAGCTTGGGGTGGGGAGTTATACTCTGTCACAGATTTCTTTCTCCAGGGTTAGTAAAAACATGCTCAAACTCACGTTTTTTTACGACATTATTGAGAACATTCCTAAGTTCCTCAGCATTGATCTCCATGTCCTAATGGAAATGTGGTGAGAATATCATTGGTTACAGCATTCTTTATGAAAAACAGTTTTATGGATGGATATGCTAAAAGTATGAAGTCTTTGGTCACTTTTCAATAAGGCATATACATGTTTCAAACCAGACAGCATTCTGCTTCATGTGAATGTTAGTCCAGCTCTGTCTTGAGACTGCACTACAAGGTAGATCTGAAGCTACCATACAGTGCTCTTAAACTAAGTGCTCTTAAACTAGAAGAATGACTGGTAATTTCAAGCCAGTGTGTAAGTCAAATAGCAAAATCAGAAAATATTTGTGCCACATTTGCAGCCACTTGATTTATGCAGTTCTTTGATCTTTAGATTTTTATCTTTAACTTTTCTTGGTAAGCATATACCAGAGGGCACTGCATTTCTGACTTGTTTATACTTGTTGTGCAAAACAGCATCTTGTAGGAGAGACAGAAGAAAAAGGATGAATTTAAATAAGGCTCCCTCAGACACAGTGGGAATAGCTTATACATACATATAATGATGTCTGTGTCCTTAATGGGGTTTTTATTTGATTTTACTTATCTCAAAATCACAAAGAGAATTTGATGGGAGAAAATTCAAGGGAAACTTTAATATTCAGTGTTCTGAATCAATGGAGTAGTTGATTTAGGAGCTGTTGTGGCCAGGCTGCTTTGAGAGCAGAGACAGGGATTGATTGCATACTCACATCCCCTGCGATCTGTCGGAAAATATTCCTGAACTGTTTTTGCTCCTCACTCTCCTCATGAGCTTTTGCTGAAGAACGCTGAAAAGAGACAAGCAAAGAACAGATACATTCTAACCCCTGCGAGGAAGAGAAAGGGTCTGGATGACTCACTTGCCCTTGTGTGAGAGATTATCTTAGTGAATCTGGAGGCACTTGGAGGAGTGGGTTATCCTACCACTCCTTTCCCCATTTTTTTGTTAGTTGTGTTCCTTAAAACTGCCAAGTGTTTAACTTCATCTCATTGTCCTCTTTCCTATTTGAAGGAGCCTAAGTAATTACTTCCACTGGCAGTTATCTTTAAATTTTTCGTTTCAAAATATTGCAAAAGAGAAGTTTGGAGCACAAGAAACATACATGAGAATCAAAGAATGGTTTTGGTTGAAAGGGACCTTAAAGATTATCTTGTTCAAGTCTCCTTGCCATGGGCAGGGTCACAGTATTTGCCTCCCAGCTGCCCTGCAGGCTATAATTGACCATGTGAGCACTCTTTATGATGTGGGCAGCCCCTTGCTGAAGACAAACAGCATATGAGACAATGGAACATGAAGCTTTTCTAGTCACATGGAAAATGCAACCCTGAACTCTGAAACTGATACTGAAAAGGGAAATTAAAGTTATCAGTAACAAAGTGAATTTCTTGGCTTAGTTCTTCTTTTCCTTTGTCCAAATGCAGAAGAAAGCTTAGATTGGTTCTCACTTTACCACCTGCATGCTCTAGCAGCCATGCAGGAGAGCAGCACCTTCCCTTTAAGCAGATGCTCCAGCCATGCCTCCAGATGCCACAAGCCTGGATGTGGGGACCTGGCTGTTAGAGACATTGAGTCTCACCCTCCTGCAGGCAGAAACTCTGAATATGCTGCTCTGTTTTCTTCCTCTCTGGTAGCAAGAGAAATGAGGGGGGTGCTCCTGGGTTTGCCCATCCTTTATCCTCTAGCCAAAAGGGACTAGGATAGAGGTGTGTAATTTGTAACAGGAGAGGCTGAATTTGCCTCATTGCCAGGAGCTTCTGCAGCCCCTCGGTTGTGGTTTGTGCATGTGCCCTCTTTAAGAGGTACTGCCTCAGCGGGCCGAGTGGGAGTGAGTTGAAGGTGGGGAAGGAATCTCTCACAAATTGTATGAGAGAGCAACCAGGAGATGTCTTCAAGCAACTAAATCCTCCTGCAGAGCTGTTAAATACCTGAAGTGACAGTCTCTCTGTGCTCATGCTCATTAGAGCCACATAAACCAGAAGCAAGTCATGTTAAGATGTGATGAGAAGCTGTTTAGTATCTCAGGACACCTCTTTGCCCTACTCCTGTGTCCTCCTCAGCCACTCTTTCATGCTAACCAGACCAAGCCTTATTTCCCCCTCTGCCACTTCCTGCAGAAACCTTTTTATCATCTGCTTTGGTTTTTTCACCATCTTTGCCAGCATTTTCATCTGCTGTCAGCTCCTTATTGCTGTTCGCTCTGTCAGAAACGAAGATGATAGGCTAGAAGAAGAAGAAGAGAGCAAAAGAGAAATGGAAATTACACAAGAAATAGTGGAAAATTTGCTTACAAGCATTCCATGGAAAGTGCATGCAGCAATAACTCAAGCTCTTGAAAGTATTACGAGAGAAGCCATTTCTTGGAATGAAAGAAAATAAAGAATAAAAATAAAAGTGGAAAATTTTCTGGTGTTGCTGCTCTTCTCATGCTAAAAAAGCTGCAAAAATTTTTTTTTTGTTTTGTTTCATTTTGGGTTTCTTTGTGTGGTTTTGTTCTGATGCTTTAGTTGGTTTTTTAATGGGGTTTCCCCCCTGTTTTTAAGCAAAATAAGCCTCCTAGATTCTCATCACTTAAACTGATGAGCTTGCCCCTCAATGAAGGGCAGTAGCACTGAAAACAAACCAAATGTGAATTGTACACAGAAAAGGAGTTATTTGTGTAGGAGCTTGTTAGTTATGTGAAGCATATGTTCTTTCTCTATATTGATTCTTGAAGCACTCGGCTGGAAGCAGCCATGTGCAATTGTTCTGGTTTGGTGCATTTAAAACAAGTTAAAAACTGCTACATGATGTGGATGTATTACTCTAGAATATTAATTACAATCAGCCTGTCTTGGGATTAAAATATCTGATTACATTTTCAAGGTCCAAAATATGTTGTGTCCAATCAAAAATAGAATCCTGGACTTTGGTGAGCAGAAACTTCAGGAAAGGGGAGTGGCTGCTACGCTAGGCAATGGAAAGCAAGTGTGAGAGCACATGTCTGGAGAAGGGGTGCTTTTCACTAGCAAGGGGTGTCAGGTTGCCTGTGAAGGGGGCAGGAAGGAAGGACAGTTTGAGCAACCCAGAGGACTGAGCTAATAAAGCTGAATCATTTGTTACCCTTTTACCACCCCTTTGAGTGAGAGGGGTATATGATGCTAATGCCATTTCCTTAGAATCTAATGTAGGAAGACAAAATCTTTGCTGCATGCAAATGGCCTCATATCCAGCACCCTTCATTAACTAGGTCAGTTTCCAGACACAGAGATGATTATAATACCAAGGAACTCTGTCCTTGCTCATGCATTGCACATGCTTCTTTGTCTTGCTGGCACTAAGCACATTGCACAGGTACCTACCTTGCCCTTTTTCTTCTGTGTGAAGAGAAAAAATTAAAAAGTGCTTGATCAGATTATGCAGAGCTGATGGCAAACTTTTATTTTTTTATTTTTCCCTTTCTCATGTGTATTTTTCCAATTCCTATAATCATACAAATTTTCCCATTTGCTATTTTTACACAGCTTTCAAATCACTAGAAATGAGGGAACATGCAGCCACCAAGAAACAGCACACTGAAAGAAACACACTGCAGAAACCATAGCAAAACTGTGTCTCATCTCATCCGGGGCTTGGTCTGCTTGAACAAAATCTCTTTAGTCTGAGTATTTCTTTTCTTTTTCCCAACCTGCCAATGCAGTGGAGATTGAGTTTCTATGCTCACAGATTAATGATATATGAAGTGACAATTTAATTCCCTCATATCTGGACAGTTATTTTTCCCTATGACAGCAAACAAAAAGGGAGCATTTCTGAGCAAGGTTTGATGGAGCTCAGTTCTGTGCAACAGCATTTCCTCTGATTTTTTTTCAAGATTAATTGTACTGTTACCTCTAGTATATTCCTATAAAGATGTGTAAAACTCCATGGTGAAGAATTAGAACTTGTCATGGATGCTGCTTTGAATCAGAGTGCTATTAGGATCCCTTTTCAGAAAGAAGGGACTACAAAATAAGGTAGTTTTTTCTTTATTAGATATGATCCCAATTTCACAAAGAAAGTATCTCAGGGCACAGAGCTAGGCTTCCCTTGGTAAACAGATAATCTCCATGGATGGAGACAAAGGCAATGCTTAGCATCCAGCTTCTTTATGCCAGGACAAGATTTAAAATCTGCAATAGTATTTTGGTCTCAGTCAAGTTCAGAAAGTAGTGTATATAAAGCAAGTGTCAACAGAACTATCTCGATGAGAAAAAAGATGAAAATTTGTGATAAAGGTGCTGTCATTTGTAGCTGTAAATTATTTCCTGCTGTAGGTTTCCCTAGGGATCATGTTCCTCTTCTCTCTACCCCTATACACAAAAGAGGACCAGGACAGTACTTACCAAAGGACGCTCTGCCTCAATCGTGTTTTCAACCTCCCTAAGTGGAAAGCAGAAAATAAATAAATCAGGAAAGTGACTGTTCCCAAAGTTGTTTGGTTTTTTAGGTGTTTTTTAAGCAGCTACTTGAACTTTCCAAGCAGCCAGTGGTGTGGGCTGGCTTCCAGCATTACAGCTTCAGGCTCAAGGAGCAGCCTTTTCCCATTTTGAGCTGAACATCCCAAGTACCATATCCAGGATGGCTGCCTCCTGGCTTACTCCTGTAAAGAGCCTCGATAACCATGAACTGGAAGTAAAACAGAAGTTCTTTGGCCTTAGTAAATGGCTAATGGTTTGTTTGCAAAGGATATCCTGCAGGCAGTAAGCTTCTCCAAAGACAATTCAAAGTAGTTTCTTGTTAGTCTATAAAGTCTAAAAAGTAAGCCTGTGGGTTTGCAGCTTAGAGTTTCTAATGAGGTTAAGAAAATAAAAAGCAGGGTGTAGCAAACTGGTAACATGACTTTAGCAGACTAGTGAGGTCACTCCACCTCTATGGCCAGATAAATGGCTCTGCAACTTACTCTGAAAGACTTCTTTTCTCTGAGAAGACCCTGAGGATGAATTCTCCCTCCTGGTGGGGGTCATATGTCGATGGGATGATGACATACTCGCTGGGAGGTAACCGGAAACGCTCAGAGATTTCTCGCATGTTTATGTAAGTCTTACTTCTAGCTTTGGAGGCATTGTAGAGGAAAAAATCCTTTTGCAAGTGGTGCTTGGTACCATGCATCTGCAGAACAAATGAGCCAATTTGTCTTCAAGGATGTCTTTCCCATTGCCCAGGTGGGCTGCCATGCAGGCAGTGCATGGCTGGGACAGAAAACACAGGAAGGAGCAGCTCAGCAAGCTGAGGGGTGGTGGTAGCTGGTGGCAGGTACAGACTCTGTCACCTTTAAGTTGCTACTGACTGAGTCTATTTGGCTTCTGAGGGCTGTTCCAGGGCCCACCTGCAGATTGTGTGGCTGACTTCTTCTGTGTAGGCACTCATATCTATCTGACCCTTTTGCTACATGCTGGGTTATTTGTAACCAAAGCTCAGACACTTTCCTTGCAGGGTATATGGTAAGGAATGGTGTAAGCAAAATCCTGCATGCAGAGTGGTAAAGTGAAGGTGCTTTCAGTGAAAACGTGCCCTTGCCTAGACAAAACATGAGTTCTGAATCTAACAGTGTGATAATAAAACATTGCATTAGTTCAAATATGAAAATTAAGCCAAGAATTGTGGACTAAGAACACTTGCAGGCTGTTTTTTTTCAGAAATAACCATCTGTAAGATAGCTAGCAAGGACACCATTCAGACTGTCATCCTCATGCTTTCCAGGTAACAAACTTCAGGTGAGCATGTTAGCAAAACTTATGATGCCAATGATCCAGCTGCTGTCAGGCTCAGAAAAAATGCAATCTGTGTATTTTTAATAAGCTTTCTTCAATGTCTGAAAACACCATTAATTTTCTAAACAAATTCTGAGACTACAGAGAAAACTCAGTGACTGCAGAATGTAGGCTATTTGTATTATTTTTAGGAGGAAATGCAAGTAGTTTAGGGTGGTTCTGCATGGAGTGCAGAGGCTCACAAGCACTGCTTCTGCATCTCTGACCAACTGTGCAAGTGATGGCCAGGCCACCAGAGAAGACAAAAGAAGCACTGAGGAGATGGTCCAAGTGAAAATGGGATGCAGGTGAGAAAGAACTAAAAAATTACTCACAAAATGTTACTAATAAACACTCCAAGCAAAAAGGTTAGCAGTTCTACTGCTGTTACATCCCTGAAAACAACCTTGACTGAGCAGTCTCCTGCTGACTTGCTGACAGGCACTACAGTAACACTAGCTGTGAGTATGCACCAAGATGTCAATCTGGCTCCGTTCTGCGCATACCTCTTTGGGCACCTTAGGGAGAAACAGAGAGAAGAAACAGTCAGAGCTGCAGGGGGAGTCTGCATGTTTATAGGTCATACATAAGGGCATTCACCTAGAGTTCTGGGGACACAATAATTAAAATACCCATAGCCAGATAACCACTTTCCCTCTTCCTTTCTAGGTTTCTTGGCATCTACATGAAATCAGCTAAAATCTGAACCAAATATGTTTGTGCAAGGGACTGAGTAAATTGACTTTTTCATCAAGTCAATATCAGGGACAGAGGCTAATTGCTACATATGAGTCTTGGGTGTCTTTCTCCTTTTTCACACTCTTCTGCCAATGAAATGCCTAGTTTCAGAAAGGACAAAAGGGAGATTGAAGAAGATATAGGAAAGAGTATGCTAAAGTCTGGCATTAGGTCACTATAAAAGCCTAAAAAGCATCTTACTTAATAGATGGGTAAACCCTGACATTACTATGGTACAAACAGTTAGAAAGACTTGAATTCCCTTCCTCTCTTCTAGATTTTCCAATTTCCTTGTGAAGCAAAAATTGCAATTGATGTAATCAGTCTGAATGATTCAGTGGTAAATGAACACTGTCAGGATTTGTGACCACAGTGCAAAGACCAAAATCTAGAGCTGTTACCTCATAGATGGCAAAGCCGATGGTGTACAGGTTGGCTCCCAGCTTGCGCTCTTTCCTCCTGTTTTTCTGCATCAGTGCAACAAGGAAGCTGCAGATAACCTCTTCATCCTCAGGATCATCATCTTCCTCCAGGAGCTTCAAGCGATACTGGGGATTGGTCCAAAATGTATCTGAGAAATCCCACCAGAAAGCCAAAGAAAACATGAAAAGCTTCAGTCTTCTAATGATGTTCATGATCAAAGAGAACTTTTAAGTTCCCTGCCTATGGCTCCTGAGGGAAAGGTTAATTCTGAAGTCCCTAAACCTATCACAATTCCAAAAAAGTGAATTTCCCAAGTGAAATCTAACAGTTAAGGGTGAAATTTTTCCCTTCTACTTGGAGCACTGTGAAGTACTTGAACAATGATTTACCTTTGCCACGGCTGCCTTTTGGGCTTACAACTGCATGCCTTGTCCACTGAGGAAGCAAGGCTTTTCCTATGGCTGAGGACTAACCAGGCTGTGGCATGACCTAGCCTTTGGGATCTACCCTAGTCCCCATCAAAGGGGTCGTATCTCTCAGGATCCTTTCCCCACCTGGATAATTGCGGCAACCTCCAGCTGAGCAGCCTCTCACCCAACGTCCTTCATTGACTGACACAGTCCAGGTCTGGAATTTATCCACTTCCAGAGTATCAGGTGTGAGGTTACAGATCTCAAGCTTTGTGAAGTGCCTCATGAAATCTTGAAATGATATCCTGGAGGAATTGAGAGGAAATTGAACTCAAATGGATTTACATGGTCGGCAGTTGTCTGAAAGACCCTGGGGAGGTGGAGGATGGTGACCAACAGCACTGTCAGTATTGGGACAAGTTTGCGGTTGGGAGTGCCATGTTTTCCAAATGCTTTTGGTCTGCTGGTTGGTCAGTTACCACAGGTACAGCTCCAAACTCAGGGAAACTGAGCTGAGAGGATGGTGTGTAGGAAGGGTGATGGAGAGCTTGTGGAAGTGTCACATAATTAGAAAGATTGTGCTGATGGCACTGAATAATCCCTGGTGGAAGAATGAGAGGATCACAGAGCAGGGCTTGTTGGGAATATGAAGGGGAGCAGAGGTCCCTGCAATAGTTTTAGCAGATTTGTAGTGGTGCAATGTCATTCATTTTTGCTATGATTGCATATTTCCTAGAGAAGTACTGGTTTTTGACTAATGCTCTCACCAGAACTCCCCATCTTCCACGACCTTGTGCTGCAGGCGGATTTTCTCTGCTTCATTAACAGAGTCCCACTCCTCTGACCTTCAAAGGAGTAAACAAGTTAGCTTAGGATTTGCCATACACTTTTCATCAAAGTTTCTAAACTTTAGCCACATAGAGTGAAAAATCAAGAGTCATTTTGCTACCTCCACATAATTTTTCCTTTGTAAGCCTTGCAACTACTTGTTCTCAATGCTATCCTCTTCTGCCTGAACAAAAGAAGCAATTGTCCTACTTCTCTCTGCCTTCCCCTTAGAATTCCTCTTATCAGGTCTCAAACATCTGCTGAACTGTGTTAATTTTACTTAGCTTGAAGAAAAAGGTATTTGTAGATTATCATTGCTGGTGTACCAATTGAAATTCCTTTAAGGAAAACCCTGACATCTTGCTACATTTAGTTCTTTTGTAACTTACAAGATTTTTCTGCTATCACATCTTGTTTTGAAAACAGACACTGCTGAATTTAATGAGCAGTAAAACCAGATTTAATGTGTCATTAAACTGGTCTCTCTCTTCATTTCCATTTATTAAAGTCCCTCTTAATATCTTATTACGTACTCCTTTCTTACATCTTCAGCTAAGCACTCAATTGACTTCAAAATGACAACAAAGACAATTCAGATGCCTCATCACTGAATATTAGTGTTATGCACAAACTGCATAAAGGCAAATAAAGCTGCAACTTCTTTTTCAAATCAGACAAAACTGTTTTACTCACTTGTCACTCCAGGCTCCATTCCATTCCACCTGGCCCCAGGGGTTTCTCAGCCTTACCAGACGTATTTTCTCCCCTTTAAATACTGTCTAATTGAAAAAAAGAAAGCAATAAGAATAGACGGAGGGTAGGTTCAAAAGGAAATGTTCTGCCTGTCACCACACCCTTCAGTGATGGTGCTTTTCTGGGCCATACCCCAGCCTGATCTTCTTGGGGTGACTGTGGGAAGGCTGTAAGACCAGGAGGTGGCTGCCTATGGCTGCCTTTGCCCAAGTGGGCATTTCCCCAGAAAGCCAAAATTTGGATAGCTTTCTTTGTCCACAAGATTTTTACTTATTTGAATATAATTTTGTTTCCTTAGCTCATAATTTGTTTCATGCCTCTCATGACTTGGCTGCCGAGCGTGGGGCCAGGCCAGTGGTGGCTGCAGCTGTGCACAGCTGGAGGGGAGCAGTGCACATACCTCTTCCACGGCTGTCACGGAGTAGGCATGGCCTTTGACGAGCCCGCAGGACATCCGTGTCTCGTACTGCATCGGCACTATGGTCTGTTAGACAGAGAGAAAAACCCTTGGGACTTGTGCAAAACTCAGCTGCCTGCTCCAGGACAGGAGCTTTCCGAGAGAGGGAGCCACCGTTCAGGTGACTGGATTGTTTGGCTTCTTCTCCTCTTTGTGTTTAAGGTGGTCAAGCTAAGTGCCCACAGAATTCATGTTGATAGTTAGGAAGGAGTGAAGCATGAACTGAAAATGGAAAAAGTTCCTAATATCCATTGAAAAGGACATTTTCTGGTGTCTTTTTTGCTTTTTTGAAGGCTATGGCTTTTTGCACTTGGAACATAGCGGGATATAGCATG